GTAATATAGTTATGCTCAATGCTACACTTTCATGATAGTTGTGCGATAAATCGCTAGTCACCTACGAGTCGGAACCACCTATAGTGGTCTGTACGACAAGACTGTGCACCTAAATTGGATCCAATGTGAGCATATGGTGTGGGATGTGACATCATAAACAGGCATGTGTCATATCTCTGGCTAAATCACAATCACTCGGGGTGCAGGTTTATGAGCTCTCAATCACATCTCACATTATTAATATCTCATATAACAAAACATAACTCACCTGGTACTTACCTGAACGTCCACAACACCAATTCATATTATGCATCATATACTAATTCATATGCTGAATATAAATTTATATGCATGGCATTTCAAAGCATACTTTCATTTAAACACATTTTCTGGGAAAATATCAAGTATATAAATATATACTAAAACCAAAAGCCCACTCACTGGTATGTCGAAGGGTCGTAGCCCCTGAGTCACCCTTGACTGCGCTCGTCCTCAGGATAGGTATCACCTATATGCGAAATAACTGAATAAACGTTATTAGCACATAGTTAATAACTTCTCATACATTGCTCAAATGGTTGATTATACCAACATGATCTACACAACCTCACGAACATTTTTAGAAAAATTTTCTGACCATCCACGCGCCAGTGGAGGCACGGCCCTACGCGCACCCACGAGCGACCAAACCTTAACTGAGGCCTAACGACCGTTAGGAATATTCCGTTAAAATCAACTAACGCCGTTAGTCGCCATTAGGAATATTCCATCAAAATTGACGGAATATTCCGTCGTCCCCTACCTTCGAACTCTGGCGACCGTCGCCGTCGCTGAAAACTGGAAAATCTTAAAATCCTTATAGCTTCTTCATTTTTGCACCAAACTCATGAAACTTATACCAAATTGAAGCTTACAATGAGTAGAACACATTCTTACCAATTTCAAGCTCCAAAAATCACGGAATCACGCCGGAAAATTCCTCGATAATCCTGCCAATTTGCAACTCGTCGAAACTAGGTCTCCCGACGTCCAATTTTCTTGGTTTTTCTTCTCCAAGTTTTGTAAGAATGTCCTAAAGCTTCCTACAAGCTTAAAATCCCCTGAAACATCCATAATTACGACCACGTGAACATTACTCAAATCGGGGGTTATGGTTTCGAGGGGTTTCAAGGGTTTCACGATCTAAAAATAGCATATATGAACTCAAAGACTTGCAAGGAGTTCGAATTGTAGCTTTTTGACGTCGATCCGTGCGTGTATGGTTGGTTCCGAGTTCGTCCGTACAATTGTACGGATTTTCAGGAAAATCCGTTAGGGAGGAGAAAGAGAGAATGCACGGGTGTGGTGCGTGGGTATGTTATGTGGTCCTAGTTTGTCCCCAACAAACCAAAACAAAACACTTAAGTCCAAAGTGTTCCAAAACTTAGGAAGAATTAAGAATGAAACCGCAACCAACATATCACACACCGTAAGGTTCAAGGGTATAATTGTAATTTCATGCCGTCGAAAAATAATACTCCGGGACGGGCTGTGACAGTTTGTTTCTAGAAACTAAAAACTAAAAACAACCACATATGGTGATTAACTGAGGGGGCTTTTATTTGGGGGGGGGCGAAAGGTGCAGTCGCACAGGATCCCAAATTTGAAGGGGTCCCCAAAATTTTGCCATCTAATATTATGTAATAATGTTCTATATTTAGAAAATGGATCTTGTTAGCATTTTAAAATCTCATTGCATTCCTTATAAGAGTAATTTTTTTTTCTTTTTTAATTATAAAAGGGTAATGTTAGGAAGACTAAACTAAATGATGTTTCACCAATAGAAAATGAGCACATATATCAACGTTTAAATAATAATCTAATCATCAATTCATATGTCTAATTTACAAAATTTTGTCTATAAATTTAGTCTCTCTAGCATTACTCAATATAAAAATTTGGAGTGCAATGAAATATTCTAATTGTCAATAATAACACCCCAAAAAACGATGGTTTTTCAACTTTATTATGGAATAATGTCATATATTCAAGTGAAATTATAAAGTTAGAGTTTTGAAATTTTTATCCATGTTTGGTTGTTTAATATTGAACTGCTTTTGATTATTTATTGAAGGTTATGTTTGTAGCTTTTTTATTTATGATTAATGACATTTGTAAACTTACAATCAGTGAGTGCTAAAGTTTGTTTTGATTTAAGTGATTGCTTTCAAATATCAATACATTGTTCTACTTTTTTTAAAACTATCTTAAGGAGGGGCCCTTTTAGAAATTTCGCACATGGCCCTCAAAATCTCAGAGACGGCTGGTGATTAAGGACAACAAAATTAGGTGGACTTGTACAATCAAATAGTAACGAGTTCTTAAAGAATTCCAAAGGACATGAGACTGCAAGAAATTCGGAGATGACAAAGAGACAAAAAACAAAGAGAAAATTATAAACAAACAAGAAAGAGATCAAGCAAATCATATTAAAGGGAAAAAAAAGAGAATCAAACATATTTAATATATAATTAATGATATAGGCAAGAGAGAAATTATAATTGGAAAGTTCAAATTTTTATTTCCAACATGTATTGTTTGATAAAATTAATAATCAATTGACATGTCATATTACATCCCAACCATTAAAAGTGAGCTATTGTAATGGTTTAAAATTTGTATCAAATCTTGTGTAAAAAATATAGTGTCACAGATCCGTTCTATATATATGTATATAGTCACTTCTTCCATTAAAAAAAATTCATTAGTACTTTCATAAGAAAACTTCATTAATCTGTAAAATTCATTAGTACTTTCATAAGAAAACTTCATTAATCTGTTAAACTTTTACGTATAGTTATGTAAAAAAAAATTAAACTTATGGTAGGTTTATATTGTAAATGTACCAAGAAACAAAATGTACCAAAAATTTAAATGTACCAATATTATAGGTAATTAAACATAGCTCTAATAAAATGGTAAAAAAATGTTTGATCAAATTCCATTCGAACTTACACACTCTATTATGGGTAGAAATATGTGCGGAGAACAAAGTACTCAAATATTTAAGTGTAATAATAATTTATATAAATTTTGGTACAAAATAAAATTAGAAAACATCGATACATACGAAAACAAAACTTTTGCAGCTACAAATCAATATTTTAAAAAAAAATTAAAAAAAAAAAAAAAGAGATGTGTTTATCAACTTTTGTCGTCAAATTGAAAAATCAAATAGAAACAACGACCGTCAAATTAAATATACATGTGTAAAAAAATTAAAAAGGGCGTATGTTTATCATTTTTTAATCTTTAGTTATACCACTTTTACTTTGCACAAAGTCGTACTTTACCTTAACAATCTATTATGACTCACTTACATCTTGTGATCATTCTTCATTTCTCATTTTCTTCTATTTCATTAACTCAATCGTATAAACAATTAACTTGCTGATGCCACAAACTCGAATTTTACTTAAAGAATTAAGTTAGATTTAAAAAGTTTTCTTTTTTTGAATAAACAATATCTACACTAAGGAGAAGAGGAGTCGGCTAAGTCTCACAATCAGCCCACCATAATAATACGGTTCAAATTCGCCTTTGGCAAGAATCTAACATAAAACCTCTAACTCATAAGTAAAAAAGAATACCACTAAATCGTAGTATTAAGTGACAGTTTAAAAGTTGAAAATAAAGAATGTAGGATAAAGTTAGAATTCTTAAATAATCTCACAAACTTGAATACTTTATTTTTCTTCATAAGGATGTTTTTATAAGATTACAAAGTAGCAATACCCAAATCAATAACAGGAAATAAATCAAATCAAACCTTTGTCCACAAGACAAGGAAACCTATACCCAGATCAAATCAAATTCTTAATTGTAGATGGCGCTTTACCACGGTAGCGGAAAGCAATAACACTTATGAACCTTTTGTGCGGGTTCGATCCCCCTCTCTCAAACATTTAACATTTTAACCCTCTAACGCTATCGTTTGTTAAAAAAATAAAATAAATCAAATACCTAATTAAATAAAATAAAAAATACATTCCTTTATATTTTGCAACAAAAATATCAAAATAGAATAAAAAGTTTTTTTTAGTCTTTTGTAAATTGAAATAATTCAACCCGTTTCCACCTCCAGCCGATCTTACTTTGGAAGTCTAAATTCATGTCTAAAAATTGTTGTATCTATAGCCTAGCCTGCTAGTCTAAACTACCTCCCAATTCCAACACTCCTCCAAACCCTCCAGCCACTACTTTGTCATGGGAGGACGAGCATGAAGTTCTTAATGAAACAAACAACGGGAAGCAGACTTTGCCTATAATTTTAACAGCATAAAAATTTCAAAAAATCTCAGGCTTGACTTTGAGATAGCCACCTGGAAGAAGCCTCACCATTCGTGCAAAATTTTCTCTATATATACAAGAAGGCCCAACACAAGCGTCGATCAATAAGGGACACCACTACGTACTATGCCATGCATGCATGAAGCAACAAGCTCTTGAAATTCACGGTGTGGGATGAGTGCAATATTCATGGTGATTAATTTTAGTGAAAAAACCTATATATATATATATATATATACATGTTGCGAACTAGACATCTATTGAGATATACACAGAGGGGGAGATAAATCAGATCGAATGACATTGCCAAGGTTTGTGGTCGTGAAATCAAACCACAACAGAAAATTCTTGCGCTACATAAAAGATGATGGAGAGGAGAATGCACCAGCCGGGTTTCTCAAATTCTCCGAAGAGGAGGCCGGCAGCCATTACGCAAAGTACGAAGTGGAGACGGCAAAGAATGGAGGGAATAAGGGACTAGTCCACATTAGATGTTGTTACAACAATAAATATTGGGTTAGCGTGACGGGAACGCATAGGTTCGATAACGAGGTTTTGATTGTTGCAGGGGCTGACGAACCCGAGGAAGACAAATCAAAACCCTCATGTACCTTGTTCGAGCCGGTCTACGTAGATCCGGTGGACAAGGACCATGATAATAATAATGATAATAATAATAACAATAATAATAATAATAAAAATAATAATAATTGTGATGATATTGATAGTCAGGTGGTCCAATTTCGGCATGTCCATCTCGGATGTTACGCTACGTTACACAGCAGCTCCGACGCCTTAGTACTTTATGGAGGCTCAACCGCAGCAGACGATCCTAACAATGCAGAGTCGCACGATGTGTGCACAGTCGTCAATTGGGAATCGCTGGTGATATTGCCGAAACATGTGGTGTTCAAGGGAGACGATGGTAACTACCTCACAGCCAATATGGTCGACGACAAGGATATGCACAACAGAGGCGACGAAGAAGATGGGCCGTATCTCCAATTTGATGGTCATGACGCATGTGATCCTATTGCAGCGAATGAGATCTTCAGAAACCCCGACGGAACCTTGCAAATAAAAAACAGTTTCTTCGGAAGATACTGGAGACTCGCCAAAGACAAGTGGATCTGGCCGGACGCGTTTAACCCTACCACCCGAGTCAAAAACTACAAAGACACATTGTATCGGGCGTTCAAGCTTTATGACAAAGCCATAGCTCTCATGAACGAAGGGAACAAGAAGTACTGCAAGAGATACACATGCGGGATTACTGATATTACTGGTATGTGCGCCAACGTCTCTAATCTCTCCATTTATTCACACCTCCACGTTGAAGAGCCTGTTAAGTCGAGGACCATCTACAATGTCAGTTACCGCCTCGCCCATGCCCGGATCTACAATTACCAAAATGACACGGTAATTGCCACAGGAGAAGCCGTCAACTTCACCCAACAAACCACAAACGTAGTACTCAAGTTGCTCTACAAGAAGTCGAATATTTGCAGTTGGAATGATATCAGTAGAGTTTATTCGATAAAGCCGAAAACCAACGTTGAAGCCGATGGCATTCCACAAATCACAGGAGGTGACAACGGAGCGATGAAGTTTGAGATTTCAGGGGGTGAGTTTAAAGGGGCGGTCCAGTGGGGAGAAACCGAGACATCCGAAACTCAAGTGGAGGCTGTTTGCATGGTTGGTGTGCCGGCAATGAGCGTGGTGAAGGTGAGGCTGCTGGCCGCCAAGGCTTCATGTGATGTTCCCTTCTCCTACTCCCGTCGCGACACTGGTAACAATGATCAAGTGCATGTTACTGATGACTTGGACGATGGTTTTTACAGTAGCACCAACGCTTTCAACTTCAAGTATGACATCAAGCAAGAAAGGATGTGATGGTTTATGTCATTTTCTAATGATTTAATACTGTAAAAATTCCAGCTATACCACATTTGTTAATCAATTATAAGACTTGTTAATTTGCAACTTAAACTATATGTAACAAACACACATAGGTCGATCCTCCCACTATTTATAGCTAGTGGTGTACGAAATCACCATAAAGGTACTGCTTTCCAAGTATGATCAGTACATCAAATTAAATGATTAATGTAGAGTTTGATAGCTAGAGATCACCATAGAGTTCAAACAATGGTGTGGACTGTCGAGCTGTTCACAATCTGTGACAATATAAGCATTTGATAGAACAACAACAACAACAACAACAAAGCGTTATCCCACTAAGTGGGGTCAGCTATATGAAACTTAGAACGCCATTGCGCTCGATTTTGTGTCATCTCTTTCCAAGTCTTCCCAGTCCAAGGTATTCAGAAAAAACCACACAAGAAAAACACAAAACCAGAACTAGACATACAAAACCAAACATTTGAAAATAGGACTTGGAAGATGCCAACTTCCATAAATCATATGCAGGGAAGAATTTGATGCTTTTTGGATATGTTAGTACAACCCTAACTCTGTATACTGATACCGGCATCAGATGCCAAATACACATGCTGCAGTCTGCAGCACGGGCAAAGATTTTTATCCCTGTTTGAGAAGTAATGAATGAATTTTATCTACTAATCTCTAAAACCTCTCTTTTCTCCTGCCTTAGCCCCCCACAAAACATAATACATTTCACTAATTAATCGACTTCAAAACTAAAACCCAAAATACCGACCTTCCAAATAACCAAATATCATTTAACGTGGACAATTTCAATATTAAAACTAACTGAGATCACATAAGTAAATCAATCACTGAAAGCACATAAAAACTTCCAACAAAATGCAGAAAGCAATCAATTTCTTCTATTAATTAAATGCATCGAATGATAATCATTCCCCAAAAACCCAATTGAATTCAACAATTGGACACCAAATCCCAAGTGGGTCAAGCTCCAATTCGGGTGAAAATCCACAAGAAACAGAAACTTACTCATTGAATGTACTTGGGTAATTCCCCCTTCCTCAAGAGGGAGAGAGAGTAGTCAGCAGCATCAACGAGGTCGTCAATGTTGTGCAGGGATCTCTCCTCCGCCGCCAACATGAAGATTGCGTGCGCCTCCGCTTTCTTGGCCAGCCTTGCGGCCAGATTCAGCGGCAAGCTCGTCGAGTTGAGGCTTCTGAGTATCTGGCGATACAGAGAGAGGACGCGTCCTCTGTTTCTTGCCAAGTCCTCCGCCGTCGCCCAAATTACCCCCTGCACCATTTCTCTCTCTCACTTCACTTCTAGCTCGGTACTCAGGGTTGTTGCAACGCCGGCAATCTAATCAGTTTGTTTCACAAATGTAAGAGAACTCGGCATCTTACTTGATAATATTAGACTCATGTCTATGATCATGACGAACTCTTCAGGATAAAAAACAAAAAAAATCACTCCTTTTTCTTTATACACAACTCAATCCAAGGAACACTAAAACACAATCCCTAAATCCAACTGAATCAGATGTAAAATAAATTCGAACATAATTTTATAAATTCAGATTTAAAGATAATCTATTTGTTTGGAGGAGATGAAATTGCAGTCCCCAAGGCCAAATTTCTAATCGTTAAATTGAATTAGACAAAATCATGAAAAAACTTTCTAAAGCCCAACTATATTAAATCACAAATTTGAAGCAGATTTTGACATGCAATATGTTAATAAGGTAGGAATCGTGTCAGACTAACCTTGATGGCGGGCGTTAGAGGAATCGTCCAATTACCGTCGGAAAGCTTGAGTCCGATCGAGATGCTGTTGATGTGAAATTCAACATGCAAAGGTTGAAGGAGAGGAATTTCAATTTGAAAGATCTGGAGCACAGTGGTTGCTTGGTGAGGAGAAGTTGCACAAGATTTTCAGTTGGAAAACAAGACGACAACCAGGCAGGAAGAAATCAGGAGGAAAGAGATGAGTGCGGGGCAAACTTGTAGCAATGGTTTCTAAATTTTAATCGACTTGGCTACTCAACTAAATTCGCATTATCATTGGCCATTTAACTCATCAAAACGTGTAATTAATCAACTTGGCTACTCAACTAAATTCGCATTATCATTGACCCTTTAACTCATCAAAACGTGTAATTATGGTCCTTTTCGTTCATTCCATCAGAATTATGTTAAAATGAGTTATGTTAGAATGATCATTGCTACACTTGGGTTAAAGTTGAGAGGCCATTGCTCTAATTAGGTTAAATTTGAGAGACCATTTCTCCAGTTGAATTAAAGTTAGGGGATCATTGATACAATTTTTCCTATTTGATTTTTCATATTTGCCCCTTAATTTAGATTCATGTGCATGACAAATGACTCATTTTGACGGACGTTCTAATGGAGTTGACGAATATGGTCATTGATGTACGTGTTGATGAGTTGAGAGATCAATGGTAATAAAATTTTAGTTAAAAGACCATTGCCCTAATTAGATTAAAATTAAAGAATCATCGCTATAATTTACTCTTTTTTTAATTGATGCAATGATACTTCCATTTTCATATTTTGTGCCCTGATGGGGAGATGCAAATGTGTGCCGGTCTAAATTGTGCAATGTCATTTTAGTTGAATGCACATCAGACACTTTGTTAAAATGTTTGATTAGAAGGCTTTTCTAGTTTGATTCCATTGATAACACAAAATATATTTTTCATGCAATATTTGTTTAGCATAAAACTGGTGATTCTTTCAGGAAACACTCTAAGTACTTTTGGAACTCAAAAACATTTTAACCAAAACGCTTCAACCAATTTGAAAGCATATTTCCAAACGAACCATATTAATTAGACCAAAAAAGTAACTACTGAAAACTATGTACAAGTAAATACATTAGTATGTAAACAGTTGATACTTGTAACATTTGCTATATCATCAAACTAGTTGCTTGTAATGTATTGTTTGTGATGAGAGTATCAATCTCATGTTGAGAAAAGAAGGAACCTTGCATATGTTTATAGGTAATTGAACTACTCTTCATATTGCCAATTGGAATTATGGTGGAACCTCAACTTTCTTTATCATATCATAGCAGGTTGTAGACTCGCGTGTGAAGTCTAACGGCCACACGTGCCCCACGTCAACCGATTTGTGTTATTCACATGTTAGGCTTGAAAATTTGCCACACTTGAGGGGCATCTTGAGAGTGTCAATCCCACATCGAAGAAAATAAGGACATTGCGTGATTTTATAAGTAATTGGACTACTCCTAACATTGCTAATTAGTTTTATGATAGAGCTTCAACTTTATGAGTTAGCATGTAAGAAATTCGTCCTTGTAATGTATTATTCATTCGCATCTATTCAAAGACTAATAATGATTTGTTCTTTCCAATTCAATCCTCTACACCTAACAAGGCATGAATATCAAGTTTACATTCAACTTTAAACCAAAATAATATGTTTGAAACATTGACAATTTGGTAATCAAATTAGTTTCAATCGTAATTCAACTGAACTAGCTAGTAAATAGCTTATATGAAATTAATATAATTTAGAAATCATCTCCAACAGGAATTGGAATGATACTATTTATATATTGGATTGCATTTAAAGTATTCAGAATCATATAGTAAAACCAACACAAGAAAATGATACTATTTAGAAGACTTAATGTTAATCCAATGACCATCAAATGCGTTGCTAATAACTGCTGGTAGGTGGAACTGCTGAATATTGTCTGTCCAGAACCTCAATGAACTTGCCAGCAATAGCACTTGCATACAAGCAAGACCCTTCATACATCTGCAAAATTAAAACCAAACCCCCCATTAATTAAAACGAAACTAAGTGAATTAGGACATAGTTGGTCAAGTGTGTTCGCCTCATTACACACAAATTTGATTTCTCCTTCTCGTATATTAGACAAGTTTAGAATATCGTTTTATCAAAAGAGAAAAAATTGAGACTAATGACGGACTAGTGAAAAAAGCTAACCTTGGTATTGAACAAGAAGCTGTAGGAATTGCCAATGTGGCCACCAGCAACATGATGAAGATCAAGCTGCAGCTCATCAAGAAGCCTGGACACAGACAGCAACAGGTTGATCTTCTTCCTCTGCACCAGTTTGATGGTAACCTCATCATGGATAATGCGGATATCAACCTCGGTGTCTTTGGATTTCCTTTGCAGCCACGAGCTCCTCAGAGAGCCGTTGTTGTAGGACTGGTCATGAGGCTCAGACTTCGCATTACAGTTCTCATCTCCGGCACCGCCATCTTGTTCCGTCTTGTGCCTCTTGCTCCTCTCTGTCCCACACCTTTTCTTCTCCACCAACAATTTGAGCTCGTCCACTGTCCTCAGAAGCTCGTTTATGTAACCAATCGCATCTCCCACAATTGACGCTCTATCATTCTTGTATCCCAAGCAACAAATGTTAGGCAAGATTAAATTAACCAAGCCAAAAAAGCAGAGGCAAAAATTGGAAAATTAAAAACAAAACTGGCACATTAAAATCAAAATTGGAAGGGGATTTGGAATTGTGAATTTTATGATTATACCTTAGTGGGGTTGGGAATCAAACTCCTCAAGGTAAAGAACTTGTCATTCAACTGCTGTCTTCGACCGCGATCAATGGCAAGGTGTTTGGACCCTTTGAGATTTCTTCCCCTTCCAATAGAACCCATTTCTCTGGAGAACTCCATCACTCCATTCTCAAATATAGACCCATTAATAGTGCCATGATCTGGGTAATCCCTCCTCCGCTCCCTTCCCTCTCATCGCCACCGCTACTGAACAAAGACCCATTTCCGGAGCCAGGCAAGGTGTACCCATGTGGCAAAGACTGAAGCAGTTCCCTGAACATTGGCGGCTGTGGAGGCAGGTTCAAATGCAAAAGTGGGTCATAGAGAACGGAAGAAGCCGTCCCCAGTGGGGTGTCAACCGCGCTGGGCAGGTCTCCGAGGAACCCAAAAGAGGTCGAGGTTTTTGGGAGCGTGTTTGTGAAGGTGATGGATGAGTTTTGAAGAAGAGAGGAGGGAGAGCATCTGGGTAAGCTGAAAAGGTTGAGAAGGTCAGGCGGTTGTGGGTATGGAGTAGAAGTAGTACCATCTGGGAATTGTTGCTGTATCTGATCATGGACTCCGTGAATGTTGTTGTCCCAATTTGTTGGGTGCTCAAAGGACACCAAATGGGAATTGTTGATGTTGGTGTCATGGTCAGTGGTGGTGTTGTATGGGTTATCGACATTGAACCCAAGTTCGTTCTGGAGCTCCATCTCCACGGAGGAATGATGATTTTGGTGATGGTGATGAAAAGAAAGCTCTTCCATCAGAACTTGCGGTTGTTGTGGCGGCGGCGGTGGGGGAAGAGGGTTTGGGTCAAAGTTGCAGCTTACCGTGTCTTGATACATTTTTGGACCAAAACTCTGCGTCTCTTTGCCTTCAGCCTATTATGGACTGAAACTGCAAATATTTGTGGAGGTGAGAGAGAATTGTATCTTTAATTTGCTCTCTCTCTCTCTCTTTCTCCGAGATTTTCCAATCTGCCAGAGCAGCAGCAGAGCTGGGAGTTTGTTACTGAGATTCCCATCGGTGGGGCCCATCCACAATCTCCTTACTCTGAAATTCTTGATTCTGCCTGCCCATTTTGCACTTTCTCTCTAACTTTTTTTTCTTTCTTTTTTTACCCCATGAAATTGTTTTAATAAAGCTATATATTTATATTAATTAGTATGAATATAAATTGATATCAAACTTGTGATCTACAAACTTCGAATATAAATTTTTTATATATGAGTAAAGAGAAATACTAATTTGTAGTACTAGTTATTATAAGAACAAGAATTTGAAATGCGAGTGCAACAGAAAGAGCAAACTACCAATGCCTCATTCTTCCTAATTGCTTATTTTTCCGTTCATTGTTATGTATTTATATTTAAATCCTGTAATTGACGAGAGAAATAAAATTGGGTTTGCAAGGATTTTCCCGATTAACTTTTATTAAAAAAATAAATTTCATACAAAACGAAAATTTCGGAATTTTCTAGCGAAGAAGAAAAACACTTGATGGTCATTTTTTCCGGCAAGAGATCAGAATTTTTATAGACTTCATGGCTTCTTCGTTATTTGCTTGTTAAAAAAAAATCTTGAATAATTATAAATGATCGCATTCACTTTTTTACACGTTTAAGACAAAAGTTGGAGCCGTGAGACCCAAGCAAACCATTGTCTTCCTCTGTTTTGGCCTCAATAAACTTTATGCCACTTGAAAAAGGTTTCTTTCTTCGTTTTTAATTTCCGTTTGTTTCTTTGCATTCATTTCTCTTTCTTCATTTTATGATACCTAAAAAAAGGATTATGACAACGTTAAGATTTGATTTGATTAGTATTTGCATTTATACAAGTGACGACGGAGAGGGAGGCAGAGATCGAACATAAATTTTTGGGTACTGCAAAGGTGAATAATTGTTAACTACTTAAGGCTTCAGCTGTACATTCTTTGAAAATTTTATCAGTGTTTTGACGGGAAAATTGACATAATAAGGTGTAACCCAATTATTGTTAGAGGAATGAACATACACCATTTTTAGCCTTTTATAAGCATTTGTTCAATCATGTTTGTTGCTTTCGTTTAATTTAATCAGCTCGATGACTAGAATTAAAGGCGGGTGTGTAAGAAATTAAAAAAAAAAATTGTGCGTGAGATTCACTTCCTTTTTATTATTGAAGAATTGAGATAATGTACCAAAGTTTATGCAAGGTTCACGCAAATTGTGGTTAGTCTTGAAGGAGAGAGTTTAGGTAGGAGCTGTGTTTTTTATACATATTGTAAATACCGATTGTGTGAAGAACCCCACTTCTATCCTCTTCCATGCGAACCGCCAGCCCAAACTAACTATTCCAACCGTTTAGCATTTAACCAAGAAGATTGAGATGAATTTTTATTTCGTTTTCATGGATCCCTTATTTAACATTAGCTTTCGTAGTAAAAGAAAACAC